TATATCATGTACAAAACTGTTTCTGTATAAATTTGGAAACTAACAGACAAGTAACTGCTGGAGACTCTGTCCTTGATGCAGAGAATTCGACAATGCACATCTATTACTAACAATTGACACTAGCAGTGCTTTCTCAGAATTTCTGTCAACACATTGTTGAATCAAAGAATCTACATACTCCATGAAGGCTGCCTCACAAGGCAACATTATTGGTCCATCACTTGGTAGACCAAATACTTCCTCGGACATCTTGAAAAGTTCTCTAATAATGGGATTGTTTAGATACGCTATAGGGAAGACAAAACGTCATTCATCAACTGCGTAAACAACAAAATTGCCTTTATCTGCCACTAACTTTGCATTTTTAGCAGTTTGGTTTGCATCTCCACTTGATCTTGGCAACGAAATTCTTTTCCTTTTGAGGGCTGCTACTCACCGCCACTTTCTTGCCATCCTCATGAGCATTTTTGTGTTGATAATTTTTTTCTAAAGCAACTAAGCTTCGAAAAGAAAGAGGTGAAAATCTTGTTTGTTGAGTGGTGGAATGTGATGGTTGATCTGGTGGAGAATGCAAGGGAGTTAGATGAGTTATTTACCACGAGACCATTGAGAGAGTTTTTTTCATGTGGGTTACCCTTTAAGAGGTTCATGGGAACACAGCCATGTGATTATTTGACATGGACCATTTCTTGAGTCGTGGAATGTGATGGTTGATCTGCTGGAGAATGTAAGGGAGTTAGATGAGTTATTTACCACTAGACCATTGAGAGAGTTTTTTTCATGTGGGTTACCCTTTAAGAGGTTCATGGGAACACAGCCATGTGATTATTTGACATGGACCATTTCTTGATAGGTCATAATGTTGGATAATTTTACATTTATGATTGTACATCTTTGAATTCTCTCATCTCACATGGACCAGTATGTTTAAATCCTAAGATATTAAAGATCCCTCATCCCACATGTATATTTTATTGGTGGATTGTTTAGCTGTTAGAGTTACAAAAGATATTAGAGATTACAGGTTGTCTAACAATGTATTAGGCCCCAGCAACTAATCTCAAAGGTCCTCTATCCATAAAAGAATTGAGATGAAGATAGATCGGTGACATTGAAAAACATATCACTTGTGATGTATGACAAGAAAATTAAGATGAAACTAAAATTGGTAATATATTAGTAACAGTATTTCTACTAATCAAGTGGGAGCTAACTGGGTCTGTGTGTGGCCATCAAGTTTCTGGGACCTTGCTATAATATTGCATTCCAAGTGGAGACTCAGATGGGTGAGCCTTTGTTTTCTGTTGAAAAATATCTAGAAAAGGCTTGCTTTGAGCCACAGATAATTTTTTTTTTTTTTTGTTTGCTAGTTAATGTAGAACATGTTGGAACCAAGATGCTATGTTCTGCACATGCCTGGACCTCCCAAATCTTTCTCATGCTCTTTTTGCAAACAGCACCTTCTTGAAACAGTTACGGATTTGCATCACTTAAAGAAGATAAATTCTTGAAATATTTGTATGTGTATACATATAATCACATAAGCTTTTGTTCCTGTTGTCCTGAAAACTTTGGGAGATTATTCTTTATTAGTCGCTAGCTTGGGGACCCTACAAAGCATAACTACTCACATGAAAAGAAGTGTCTCTCTGGTCTTGCCTTCCATAACTCATTTGACGCCATAGCATTCCTCCTCTGATAAAAAATCACATTGTACTACTCAACGACGAAGTTATTCTCTTAATTTCGTTTTTAGAAGTTCACTTGCAATGATCAGCACAAAGAAATTCGTCACGATACTAAGGAACTAGCAGAGTGTAGCAGGCCCCAGAAGGAAAAAGATTTCATTCCTAAGAGCTGGCAGAGATGCTAAATAAAACACTAGCAATGTACACCCAGTCATTAGAGAACTCTTCAAAATGCCAGAGGAAGAGTTTGGCCTACCCAGTGATGGACCAATTACTTTGCCTGTGATGCAGTTTTCATGGACTATGTCATCTCTTTGACTAAAAGGCATTCAAAACATGATGTTGAGATTGCATTGCTTATGTTCATTTCTACTGGCTGCTGCTTACCAGTTGCAAGTCTGCGTCAGGAGCAAAGTAACCAACAGTCACTAATTTGTGGCTTTAGAAGATGATTTTTGTAGACAGGTTACAGTGCTTTACATTGATAGTAAATATATTAATTGAGTTTTTTCCCAATTTTCTGGTTGCTTTTATTTATTATCTTTAAAGAGCGAGTAAAAGAAATTTTGATTAGTAGCATCTAACAAAGTGTTCTACAATATAAATCATTACTCCAGGTGTATAATATGCCTCGGTTGCTGTCTTGTACTAGGATAAGAGAACATAATAGTCGTTTTGGCCTTTATACGATCCTATATTTGAGATTGGATTGTAAATGTTGAACTTTATGCGAGAACTCAAGTCGTTCACCACTAATAGCTTTGAGCTTGAGCTTTTTGAGTTTCCATAGTTTATATTCAAAAAAGTAGTTTCAGTATTATAGAGACCTTCTCCAATGCAAAACATGGAATAGAAGTTTCTTCACGATACGACAAAAATAGATTTTCTCAAAGTATTCAATCATGATCTATTCTGGCCAAAGATATAGTCACAGGCTTGGGCATTGCCAAACCCGACTCATTGCATAGTCTTGGGTACAAACATGATCTAACCCAACTCGTGGTTAGATCCAAATGCTGCTCCATCTTCCACAGAATCCTTAACTCAACCTCTAAACTACTATAGAATTAAACATAAAATTAATTTAGAATTAGAGCATTATTTTGAATTAATCTTATCATATTTGTATTATACTCTATTCCTACATTTCAATATAATAAAATTCGATTTCACAAAATTAATATATTATAAAAGTAAAAAGACAACAAAATGGAGTCTGTACCAAAATTGTTTAGGCAATTACAGCTAGGTAACACCATGTGCAGTTCCTGGTGCATGATTCAATTTAGACACTATCTGGTTTCTTTTTCTCCCTTGAGTTATGATTCATTTAAAATGTTAAGTCATTATCAAAGACAGCAATGAAATGACGCTTAAGCACTTCAAAGATGCATGATACTGGGGCAGCCTACTGATAATAATGGCTCATAGAACTGAAACACATCACATTGAAGGACACAGGGAATTACTTCTCGAGTATTGGTCTTTGTAATTACCACCAATAGGTAGGCTTTCTATGTCATGAACAACATGGATTTCTAACTTATTCTAAACCGAATGAATTTGCATGACAGAATGAAATCTTTGGATAAAGTTTGGCTTGAAAAATTATGAGCTACTTGATCAGATAAGTCACTTATCTCCCCTATAAATTATTCTTTTTAGACAAGAGAATATGAATCAAGACAAAATTCCAGTAAAAATGTTAGCATTCTACAACACAAGCCAACATCAGGAGTTCTGAAAGAATAATTAGAAACTTCAAAAGAATATGAAGATAAAAAGTTGATTATCTATTAAGTTCACTAGAGAAAAACAATCAGTGTGTCATATACAAATTTTTGGCTAAGATTTTGGAACTAACAGACAAGTAACTGCTGGCTACTATCTTCTTGATGCAGAAAACACGACACTGCACATCTATTACTAGCAATTGACACTAGTGCTTTCTCCAAATTTCTATCAAGACACTTTTGAATCAAAGAAACTATATACTCCATGAAGACTCCATCGCAAGGCAATATGATTGGGCCTTCGCTTGGGAGACCAAATTCTTCCTCGGACATCTTGAAGAGTTCTCTAATTATGGGATTGTTGAGAAATGCTATTGGGAAAAGAAAACGCCATTCATCAGTTGTGTAAACAACAATATGGCCCTTATCTGCCAAAGATGGTGCGTTGCTAATGTCCTTTTTTGGGCCTTTACTGGCTCTTGGGAGTGAAATTCTTTTCCTCTTGAGGGCTGCTACTCTCTGCCACTTCTTTGCCATCTTGAGTAGTTTCTTTGTGCTGATCATTGTTTCTAAAGCAAATGAGCCTGGAAAATAAATAGGTGAAATTCTTCTTTCTTGAACAATGGAAGTAATTGTTAATTTGATGGAGAATGCAATGGTGCTGGACGAGTTATATACCACTAGACCATTGAAACAGTTATTTTCATGTGGGGTGACCTTGTGAGGGGTTAATGGGTATACAGCCATGTGATATGTGATTATAGGACATAGACGGTTTTGTGATGGGTCATATGATATTGGGTAGGTTACATCTGTGGTTGTGCATCCATGAGCTCCTCATCCATATGGACCACTATGTTTGGATACTGCCGGGATATGATTCAATAGTGCAGTGTTTGGCCAGTTGGACAATTAATGAGGATATTGAAGAGGAACCAAGACCTGGAATTAATGGCTTCCTTCAGAAGGTTTAGCAATGCATTAGGGTACTGAAACTTATCTCAATCTTCTTCTATCTGAAAAATAATTAAAATACAGATGGATCAATGATGTAGAAAACATGCCAACCAGATTGTATAACAAGACAGTCAGAATCATATAGCTTGCAACCCACCACCTATACACGAGTCAGAACCCTGTAATACCAACCATAATTGCATTCTTGATAATTGAATGGGAGATAGAGGCTAGGAGATATTTAGAACTTTTGATTTCTGTTTAGGAATAATAACAACATTAAAGAAAGCCTTGGTTTCAGCCGTGTAAGTGTCTTTTTTCTTTGCTAGCTACTACTGAACACGTTGGGACCAAGATGTGTCTTGCACATGCCTAGATCCGCCAAATCTTTCTCACTCATTTGCGAGAAGTTGAATCTTCTAAGATCTTGAAACAGTTAAATATTTACAAAAATTAAATAATATAATATTATATGTTTTATATAAAAGGAAGATAAGTGATATATTATATGTATTTTATCGTCTGTGCTTTTGTTTTGTTGTACTTAGAAACAGTGGTAGAAACATTGTCACATGTTTTTGTATACATGAATCCCCTCAAAGTGTAACCCAGATGAAAAGATTAGTCTCACTGGCCTTGTGTTATATAACTCTTCCAATCCCATTGCATTCTGCATCAGCTAGTAATCTCAATTTTCTAGCACTCTAGAAACTAGTTATCCACCTCTTTCTTTTTCAGGTTCATTTTCTCAAGACAAAATGATCAGCTCAAAGAAGCTCATCAAGGTGGCAAAGAAGTGGCAGCGCCTAGCAGCCCTCAAGAGGAAAAGAATTTCACTGCCAAGAGCCAGTAAAAGAGCAGACCAAGGCACACCATTAGTGGCAGATAAGGGCCACTTTATTGTTTATACAGCAGATAAAAGGTGCTTTGCCTTTCCTATTGCATATCTCAACAGTCCCCTTATCATCCAGCTCTTTGAAATGTCAGAGGAAGAGTTCGGCCTCCCAAGTGACGGGCCGATTAGACTACCTTGTGATGCAGTCTTCATGGAGTATGTAATTTCTCTTATAAAGTGGAATGCAGCAAAAGATATTGAGACTGCGTTGCTTATGTCCATGGCTGCAGCCTGCTGCTTACCAATTTCACGTCCGCATGAAGAACAAAGTAACCATCAGTCACTAGTTTGTGGCTTTTGAAGAATTTTTTTGTAGACAGATTATACTGCTGTAAATTCATACTAATTGATTAACAGATCTTAATTCAAAGTG